CCCCAAAACCCCAAAACCCCAAAACCCCTCAGGGATTAATCTAGCCTTATTCATAGAGTAAATTGATTGTAGAAATAAATAAACGATTTAATTATGGAAATGAAAAAATATTCTTAACAACCGATCTTGTTGCTCTCAAATCCAAATAGACAATACAATCAGCCATAATTGCAAACATAAGTTGTAACTCTAAGTGGATATAACTCAGCTTCATAATATTAATCATAGAATTTACCCACTATAAACTAAGGAAGGCAGGTTCAGGGAATGATAAATAATTAAAAGTTAGCATAGAGAGCAGGTGTGCCTCTGGAGTCTGTAAGTAACCGAAAAATAAAAGAGCTGATCAAGATCAAATAAAAAGAGAGTGACTAAATGAATGTTAGTTTACTAAAAGTAAAGGGAGATTAGTATCATAATATTTAGTCGTTAGAGAGCTATTAGCCTCAAATGCATCACAGACAAAAATACCTAAATAAAACCAGCGAAAACTTTAAGATACTTAGCAAGAACAATAATAACAATGCGAATTCACAAGATTAGGTTAAAGAATAATAGCAGAAAAAGTCATTTAACATTAAAAGCTCATTGAGGAACCTCTCACAAGATAATAAAAAATGAAGTAACATCCCTAAACACAAAAGTGGAAATGTCCTTATTTAGAAAGCTCTAGCTAACGATTAGATCGAAGAGATAAAATAGAGTGTTGATTAAAATCTGGAAAACTTGAGAAATTACTAGCATCTTTAAATTGATAATTCAATTTAGAGGGCTGATGAGCCTTTGCAAAGGAGAGAGTCTATATAGATCCTTCCAGATGATCCTCTCATTTTGCCTCTCTCAAATAAATTCTTGCGATCTTAACTTCACAAAAGAAGTGAGGTCTGTCAATCGGATTCTTTCAGTGCAACTTAAACTACTTATTCTCATCTAAGGCATATGAATAAATCATAGAATTAGAAGACAAGCATTAATACAGATTGTAAAAGAGAAAAAATAAGATCTTCTCAACAACACTATCAGCATACTACTGAAGCTCTGAGAACTCATGAGCATGCGATATCTGAAATGAAGAACTACCAGCTAATAATGAATAAAGAATCTCATTTCAAAGAAAATGTATTGCTTAATCCATTAATCTAGTATCTTATTCGAAATCATTTTAACAACAATAATAGAGGGTCAGTTAATGGGAATTTAATTCAAAATCATAGAGATCTACAAGCAATTAAAAAGTAATAAGAGGTGATTGATGTACAGCACCTATCAATCACAAAATCCAAACTTGGTAGTTTTAAGAACTTGAACGGATGTGTAGAAAGTGGAAGATAATCCATAGCAGCTCAATCAATAGAATTCAGAGAAGTTCAAAACTAGGATTATAACTCTTAAAGTAAGAGGATAAAATAGTTCAGCAGTGAGAAAAAAGAACTGTAATCTAAAAGGAATTTATAATAATTTATGACTGGAGGAGAGTCGCTTAATTCTTCTCAATGCTAATCAATTAAGCAAGACTCCTAGAAAAATCTTATTAAGATTCAAGATTGTATTGATTTCAATGCGATTCATGGAGATTAAGTATTAACTGAAGGATTAGCTAACTCCTAGAATAAGAATTCGTAATCAAGAAAGTTATATCAGCAAATATATAAAGAATTTCAGAAAAATTATCAAGAAAATTTAGAGAAGTCAACACTCAGGCAAAAGAAATTGCTTGAAATCTAAGCATTATAAGGCATGCACTCAAGTAGATATGAAAAATCCCCAGATCGAAAATCGTTTCCACCAGAGACTTGTGCCCTTGAAACTCCTGACGAAAAAAGAAGTCTTATTTCACAAAAATAATTTTCTGCCTCTATTGGCGGGAAAAATACGATTTAATAGAAAACAAAAATCAAAGCTTTGAAAAATCTTAAAGAATTCAATACTATATACACAGTCCAAAATCTAGAAATAAATGATCTATTCAAAAAAATAAATCAAATCATATAGGCGATTTCAAAGATTAAGGATAATTTCAATAATTAAAGTGTTAAGGATCTGAAATAGCAAAGTACATTTCTGGGAATTAAACTTACAAATCAAGATCTTTAACCAAATTATCTTAAAACAAAGGAATTCACTATATTCATGAAATCACAGATACTTGGTTTTATGAATCGATAATTATACCCAGATATAAAATAAGCTCAGTTGACCTAAAGAAAGCCTAAAACATATAAGTTTTGGGTGGAATGCTCTGGGAATAATCATAATTTAGTAAAGTAGATAATAAAAAGAAGAAATTGGATTATTTTAGCAGCCGATTATTCACCTGATCAGCAAATTTATAGTAATAATAATTCTGAAGATGACTCTCCTACTCGAGAAGACAATCAGAAGACATAGAGTATTTACCCAAATTTGATATGGACATAAATGAGAAGACCTAAGTTAATGAAGGAACTAAGGACTGACTAAATTTATAATCACTTAGATGGAATTAACACAATTGCAACAAAATCTGGACTGTTTTATAATCTTAAAAAGCTTTGCGCTGATAATAATCTGAGCCTAAATGATTATATCCCAGAAACTTACTTAATAAGGGTAGAAAATAAGGACTATGACTCTAGATCCAGAGACCTTGAAGCATTTAGAAAGGTCTTCAATAATCATATTTGGATTTTAAAGCCAGGTGAAAATTCTAATAGAGGTCATGGAATTTAGGTACTCGATAAATTAGATAAGATTGTGAGTGCCGTTGAGACATAATATTCTGGAGGCCACTATAAAACTGTTGTTCTCTAGAAATACATCGAGAATCCTTACCTTGTCTCTAAGAGAAAATTTGACTTGAGAGTATTTTGCCTTCTAAATTATTACTAAGAAACATAAACTTTAAGAGCATACTATTATGATGAGGGATATCTTAGAACAAGTTGCAAAGAGTTCAGTTTGAAAAAAATTGATAGTAAGTACGTCCATCTAACAAATGATGCAGTCTAAAAATACAGTTAGGATTATGGGAAATTTGAAAACGGAAATAAGTTGTCCTACGAAGATTTCTCAAAACTTCTATCAAAAGATAAAGATGTGGATTTTTATGGACAAATAATTCCATAAATAAGAAACTGTATGAAATTAGTAGTGGAATCTGCAGCGAAAAGCCTAGTAGGAGAAATTCGATATGATTATAATGGCTATGAAGTACTTGGATTTGATTTCATGCTAGACGACAAAATGAAACTATACTTAATTGAATGTAACACTAATCCTTGCTTAGAAACTTAGCAAAGCATTCTTTTACAAAGAATAATTCCTTAAATGCTAGAATAATCTATGAAAATTGCAGTTGACCCATTTTTGAGAGCAACTGAATAATAATACACTTAGAGTGGAGGAGAGATACTTATGAATGAATTGAAATATGAATTGATTTATGAGTATCATTATAAAAATAAGGTCTAAAATAAGTGATATAATTAAGCAATTTGTTTAAGTATATGAAATTTAATTACATCTCCTGAATTCAATTTATTCACTTATTTGGGGTTTTGGGGTTTTGGGG